TTTGGTGTATATATGGTGTGAAATCTCATGTAGGTTAACGGATACTTACTAAAACAATGGTATTTAGTTTACTAAGACCCGAGTCAGGAAGCATAAACCCGGTTCCTGAGAAATAAAACACCAGCCGCACCATCACCACCTTGTAAGAAGCTGTGAGTTTATTATGTAAATCGTAAGAGAAGTCATTGTTTTGAAATGGCGTCAGAAACTTTTGTGGGGCTGTGATGGTAACTTTGTTTATTTTCAGACTGGAAGGTGGTCTTGAAACAGTGGAAGGTCTTGGTGAAATTACGGAAGGTCTTGGTGAAATTATGGAAGGTCTTGGTGAAATTACGGAAGGTCTTGGTGAAATTACGGAAGGTCTTGGTGAAATTATGGAAGGTCTTGGTGAAATTACGGAAGGTCTTGGTGAAATTATGGAAGGTCTTAGTGAAATTATGGAAGGTCTTAGTGAAATTATGGAAGGTCTTAGTGAAATTACGGAAGGTCTTAGTGAAATTATGGAAGGTCTTAGTGAAATTATGGAAGGTCTTAGTGAAATTACGGAAGGTCTTGGTGAAATTACGGAAGGTCTTGGTGAAATTATGGAAGGTCTTAGTGAAATTACGGAAGGTCTTAGTGAAATTATGGAAGGTCTTAGTGAAATTATGGAAGGTCTTGGTGAAATTACGGAAGGTCTTAGTGAAATTATGGAAGGTCTTAGTGAAATTACGGAAGGTCTTAGTGAAATTACGGAAGGTCTTGGTGAAATTACGGAAGGTCTTGGTGAAATTACTGAAGGTCTTACTGAAATTACAGAAGGTCTTAGTGAAATTATGGAAGGTCTTAGTGAAATTACGGAAGGTCTTAGTGAAATTACGGAAGGTCTTAGTGAAATTACGGAAGGTCTTGGTGAAATTACGGAAGGTCTTGGTGAAATTACGGAAGGTCTTGGTGAAATTACAGAAGGTCTTGGTGAAATTACTGAAGGTCTTACTGAAATTACGGAAGGTCTTAGTGAAATTATGGAAGGTCTTAGTGAAATTATGGAAGGTCTTGGTGAAATTATGGAAGGTCTTGGTGAAATTACGGAAGGTCTTGGTGAAATTACGGAAGGTCTTGGTGAAATTATGGAAGGTCTTGGTGAAATTACGGAAGGTCTTGGTGAAATTACGGAAGGTCTTGGTGAAATTATGGAAGGTCTTGGTGAAATTACGGAAGGTCTTAGTGAAATTATGGAAGGTCTTAGTGAAATTACGGAAGGTCTTGGTGAAATTATGGAAGGTCTTGGTGAAATTATGGAAGGTCTTGGTGAAATTATGGAAGGTCTTGGTGAAATTACGGAAGGTCTTGGTGAAATTACGGAAGGTCTTGGTGAAATTATGGAAGGTCTTGGTGAAATTACGGAAGGTCTTAGTGAAATTATGGAAGGTCTTGGTGAAATTACGGAAGGTCTTAGTGAAATTATGGAAGGTCTTAGTGAAATTACGGAAGGTCTTGGTGAAATTACGGAAGGTCTTGGTGAAATTATGGAAGGTCTTGGTGAAATTACGGAAGGTCTTAGTGAAATTATGGAAGGTCTTAGTGAAATTACGGAAGGTCTTGGTGAAATTATGGAAGGTCTTGGTGAAATTACGGAAGGTCTTGGTGAAATTACGGAAGGTCTTGGTGAAATTATGGAAGGTCTTGGTGAAATTACGGAAGGTCTTGGTGAAATTATGGAAGGTCTTAGTGAAATTATGGAAGGTCTTAGTGAAATTATGGAAGGTCTTAGTGAAATTACGGAAGGTCTTGGTGAAATTACGGAAGGTCTTGGTGAAATTACTGAAGGTCTTACTGAAATTACGGAAGGTCTTGGTGAAATTACGGAAGGTCTTACTGAAATTACGGAAGGTCTTACTGAAATTACGGAAGGTCTTACTGAAATTACGGAAGGTCTTACTGAAATTACGGAAGGTCTTACTGAAATGACCAAAATCTCCACTCAGTGCTTCATGACATGTCTACAGCTCACATCATTATTATTTATATTATTAATACACACATCCTGTTCCCTTGAAGATGTGTGTAAACACACGAAAGCGCTCAGGTTTCATTTCCTATTGTCATTCTGGTATTTTTTTTACATATTTGCAATCACGCGTTGTATTGTGATTTCTTCCATACCAGAAACTAATCTGCCATACAACACCTGGGCAACGAAAAACAAGGGAAAAGACAGCTCCAGTTCCTAGGATCAAGAGCACTTAACCTGGATTAAGTCAAGTCACATAGAGATGGGATGGAACACCTGAAATTAGGGTCTTCCCTAAAAGCAACAAGTTACCGTTAAATAATCTTATAATGGTGTACAGGAGAGGGTTTACCTGGAGTTTACCTGGAGAGGGTTTCGGGGGTCAACGCCCCCAGGGATCGGTCTGAGACCAGGTCTCGTGGTGGATTAGGGTCTGATCAACCAGGTTGTTACTGCTGGCCGCACGCAAACTGACGTAAGAACCACAGCCCGGTTGGTCAGGTACTGACTTTAGGTACCTGTCCAGTGTCTTCTTGAAGACAGTCAAGGGTCTATTGGTAATCCCCCTTATGTATGCTGGGAGGCAGTTGAACAGTCTTGGACCCCGGGTGGAGATAAATGGTATAAAATACTGACAATATGGAAAAAATGTGTATGTTACCCTTTATTGACTACGTTTCGCCCACACAGCGGGCTTTATCATGTCACAAACAGCCCTACCTGGGGAAAGAGTAGGGGCCGTCCTCGAAAAGGTTGGAGGGAGGGGGTAAAGGAGGTTTTGTGGGCGAGGGGCTTGGACTTCCAGCAAGCGTGCGTGACCGTGTTCGATAGGAGTGAATAGAGACGAATGGTATTTGGGACCTGACGATCTGTGGGAGTGTGAGCAGGGTAATATTTAGTGAAGGGATTCAGGGAAACCGGTTATTTTTATATATCCGGACTTGAGTCCTGGAAATGTGAAGTACAATGTCTGCACTTTAAAGGAGGGGTTTGGGATATTAGCAGTTTGGAGGGATATGTTGTGTGTCTTTATACGTATATGCTTCTAAACTGTTGTATTCTGAGCACCTCTGCAAAAACAGTGATAATGTGTGAGTGTGGTGAAAGTGTTGAATGATGATGACAGTATTTTCTTTTTGGGGATTTTCTTTCTGTTTTGGGTCACCCTGCCTCGGTGGGAGACGACCGACTTGTTAATATATATATATATATATATATATATATATATATATATATATATATATATATATATATATATATATATATATATATATATATATGCAATAAGATCACAGTAAACAGGTGATTTCAGAATATGCAAAACAACCACTCTGAAAGAACAGAGAAATTCCAAGCGCTTTCGTGACTACTCACATTATCAAGGAACTATATAGTTCCTTGATAATGTGAGTAGTCACGAAAGCGCTTGGAATTTCTCTATTCTTTCAGAGTGGTTGTTTTGCATATATATATATATATATATATATATATATATATATATATATATATATATATATATATATATATATATATATATATATATATATATATATATATACACACACACACACAACCGGCCTAGTGTCATCGATATGTGTCTAGAACAAAATAATAACTAACACACACTCGCCCGTTCCGTGTAGGTCAGTCTCATATCCAACTTACTCAACATTCTACACCTGACTCTCCACCCTTATGTACCCTAACCAGGTTTGTGCTGAAGAAGGCTCCTCGTGCCCTTGTCCCAGGGCTGCCCCTACAACAGGGCTGTAAATGGTACTCTACATGACACGTAGACAGCTTACCGTGCCCCTTGCCATGAAGCTGTGCAACACTTGTACACACTTCGACACCTTCGGGAGCCACTGCCAGGTCACCATATGGATACGACCCTGGCCAGGACCCGTCCTACCTGGAGAATATCCCGGGGATCAACGCCCCCCTTCATCGCTGCTCGGCCCATGACCAGGCCTCCTGGCAAACCCACACGAACATGAATCTATTGCCAAACCAATACTTCCCTAGTAATATTTTCTAAATCTAAACTTATTTAAGTTGGTCCAAGGTGGACAACGTTCAATAATATACGTGCTAGTGTTGGTTCAGGTGTTTTTTTTTTGTTTAGTGTAAGTCAGGTTAGGTAAGATTCGTCGGAAAACAGAACAAGTGTTTCGTGACGTGAGTCTTCGTTATATGATGACCCGCTATTGGAGCTTATGGTCCTCTGACCGAGGCCTTCCACTGGCTTACCAACTTCATTGGAAATAAGTCACTTTGACCTTTTTTTGGGGGGGAGGGGGTTATCCTGGGTAATTTACGCATTACACAAATTACCCACACATAGGAGAGCGGAGCTTACGACGACGTTTCGGTCCGACTTGGACCATTTACAAAGTCACACTAACAAACGAGTGGTTCAAATCGGACCGAAAGGTCGTCGTAAGCTCCTCTCTCCCATGTGCGGGTTGTGTATTGTTTCGGTCACGGTATTATGCCTTTCTGTAATAACACTGATATAATTACCGACAATATGTTAGATAAAAGGACACAAGTGTAATCAATTCGATATTTTATTGTGGCAACGTTTCACTCTCTAGGAGCTTTCTTAAGCTGAACGGCTTGACAAAGCTCCTGGAGAGCGAAACGTTGTTACAATAAAATGTCGCATTAGTTGCACTTGTATCCTTTTACCCAAAAATTTATGCATATGTTGCTATGTATGATAATTGTACTTATGTATACCGTACCTATTTACTTGATAAGTAAGACACATGTGCAACAGTTAGGTATCTTTATTCCGAAACGTTTCGCCCACGGAGTAGGCTTCTTCAGTCGAGTACAAAAGAGGTAGCAGAAACAGTAGAGATGTGAAGACGCTGTCATCAGTCCATCTCCCTTGAAGACTGAGTTTTGAGGTGGTCAGTCCCTACTGACTTGCTTACCCGTCCACCCCCTTTAAAAACTAAAATGACGAGTGAGTTAATTAGTGAATACTGGTCTTTCACAGAACTGTGTGGAGATAAGAGTGAGGAACCGAGCAATGAGAGACGGCGACGTCAGGCGGTGCAGGTAGGTCCGCCCGAGGTAGTTTTTGCTCTGCCTGCTGCCTCAACCTTGTAACTTTCTCTCTCTCTCTCTCCTTCACCCTCAGTCACCTTCACCACCTGCTGCGTCTTTCCCGTCCATTTTCAGTATTGTCTTCATCTGCTTCACCTTCAATGTCTTCCCGTCACTCATGTGGATGCGATAAACCCGCTGGGGGTCATTGCCTGGAGAACGGGAGGCAGTCAGGGGTGACCCAAGAGAAGGGTGCGTCTTATATCCCTGGATCAAGAGATCTTGACCAGTAACTGGTACCTCATTCTCACTTCTCTCAAAGGCATATCTGAGATATTTTATACACACTAGCTGGTTGATTAACGGGGTTTAAAGCCTATCGGTTACACCGTGGTCAAAGGCTGCATCTAACCTTGTCACTACAAGACTAAGAATATTTTAATCCATAAAAAAATTAAAATTCACAATATCTTGACTAGAATAATTCATAAACTCCTGTAATTCCTGAAATAAGAATTGAAATATATATTATATTTGAAAAATACACGGCAGTAATACGACAGATAACTGATTTAATAGGAGATATGAGAAGTATTTGTTTTTATAGACATTGCTACACATTTTGACATGGAATCGACCAATGTTGAACACATTTAGGCAAGTTCTTCGTGGTACCAGATCCTAATAACACCAAAAAATTAGCTTCTGTTAATAGTGGAATATTGTTAGGGAAAGGGCGAGTGTGGGGGATGGGTTCCACCTTTCCTGCTCAGGGATATATAATCAAAATATAAAAATACCATGAGATAAACGGGATAAAGATATCGAATCAATACTCACAAAAAAATAATGAAAAACGTGAATAATAAGCAATAAAAAATTAATTTAATCAGATAAGGCATGGTAAACAGGAAGGCCAAGAGAGTCAGGTGTATATATTACTATCACCAGCGGATGTATAAGCCGTATATTGTTGTATGATCTAGGAAAAAAGGGAGTGATGATAGTGGTGACCAGCTGGCAGCTGGGGATAAATGGTATGAAATACCGACACGATGGAAAAATAGACACAAATGCAGTATAATGTGATCCTTTATTGACTGCGTTTCGCCCACACAGTGGACTATATCAAGTCACGAACAGATCTACCTGGGTAAAGACTACACGAGTGTATGGTCAACAAGACTTCATATATCATATATAAATACGCCAAAAAAAAAAAATATCATAGTGAGAGAAATTCCTTTTTCAACAATTTTATTTACTCGTTACTACTATATGCACCACCTAGCTACTGCAACATTGCAATGACCTGTATTCTTTTTCCTGTTTTTTCTATAGATGCTGATGGTGATGGCAGCGTCAGTATCATACTTCGTGATGGGAATGTCTCTCTCCTTCCCCAATGTTTTGGCTTCAGATCTTCTGTCTGATAACACCACACTCTTCAACACTCAGCTTCAGTTCCAGGACTGGCAGCTGGATATGATGGGTATGTTAGATTTTATATATATATATATATATATATATATATATATATATATATATATATATATATATATATATATATATATATATATATATATATATATAAAATTCGACCACCAAGCTACGAATTATCTACACAGACTATGCACAGATTTCATACCTGTGTGGTGTGAATACTTTGCAGCATAGTGTTTATACTACTCTTTGCCCTCAGACACGAGATCTCCACTGCTTCCAGCCTCCTCCTTGTTGCAACATTCACCACCAATGCTTCACACCCATATAAGAGCGTTGGTATCACTATACTCCAATACATTTCCCTCTTTGCTTCCATGGATAACATTTTTTGTCTCCACAGATGCCTCAAAGCGCCACTAATCTTATTCCTCTCGTCAATTCTATTTAAGTGGGTTTGGGTTTAACAAGGACTTGCCAAAGATGGGTCGGTAGGCCTGCTACAGTGTTCCTCTTTTCTTATGTTTAATAAGAACATAAGAACATAAGAAAGGAAGAACACTGCAGCAGGCCTGTTGGCCCATACTAGGCAGGTCCTTTACAATTCATCCCACTAACAAACATTTGACCAACCCAATTTTCAATGCTACCCAAGAAATAAGCTCTGATGTGCAAGTCCCACTCAAATCCAACCCCTCCCACTCATGTACTTATCCAACCTAAATTTGAAACTACCCAAACCTAAATTTGAAACTACCCTAAATTTGAAACTACCCATAATGCATCTCGACTCGCCTGAGAGTCGACCTCTAGTGTTTTCGGTTGAATCTAGCGCTCTACCAAGAATCTACCTGCCACCTGAAACACCAGCATCAGGAAGTAAAGACCAGACAAGTCTTATTTGGGTGGAAAAGAAATTATGAAGTAGAAAGAAACTGTTTATTTAGGTCTCAATCAAAGATTCTCTTTTCTGTTGAAAAAAAAGGTCCCCGATTGCATCCGAAATATACAGACCCTTTGTGCTAAGTAAGCCATGGAACGGGTGGGGTTAGAACCCCATGGCGAGTGAGTCAAAAAATTCGCGACTTAAGAAATCGTAATGACACGATTGCAAACAAACCATACCGTTCTGTGGTTTATTTGGAGTCATGTTGTTATGATTTCTCGAGTTTTTCTACTAAGTGTTGAACCTTCCGTCTCTGTGAGAAAGATAACACTTAATAAGGGGGATTACCAATAGACCCCTGACTGATAAATTAGACACACGTGCAACTCTTGGGTATCTTTATTGAGGAAACGTTTCGCCACACAGTGGCTTCATCAGTCCAAACGTAGGAGAAACTTGAAGAACAGGAGGAGAATGAGGTAATCAGTCCCTCAACCTTGAGTCGATGTGTTCAGTCCATCAATCTTGAATAGAATACGGCATATCAGCGGAGAAGCAGCTTATAAACCGTATGGCAGGAGAGGTGCAGCTTTATAAGCTGTACGGTTTATAAGCTGCTTCTCCGCTGATATGCCGTATTCTATTCAAGATTGATGGACTGAACACATCGACTCAAGGTTGAGGGACTGATTACCTCATTCTCCTCCTGTTCTTCAAGTTTCTCCTACGTTTGGACTGATGAAGCCACTGTGTGGCGAAACGTTTCCTCAATAAAGATACCCAAGAGTTGCACATGTGTCTAATTTATCAACATGTCGGTTCTCTGAACCATTCATCTACAGACCCCTGACTGTCTGCAAGAGGGAGCTGGACAGGCACCTAAAGTCAGTACCTGACCAGCCGGGCTGTGGCTCGTACGTCGGTTTACGTGCGGCTAGCAGTAGCAGCCTTGTTGATCAGGCCCTGATCCATTGCGAAGCCTGGTCACGGACCGGGCCGTAGGGGCGTTGACCCCCGACACCCTCTCCAAGTATACCATAAGAAGGACGACCGGCTAAGTGGCTACGGTACACTGTAGACTGATTCGCTGCTCGTGAGGGGAGTCAAGTGACTTGGCAGTAAAAATGCCCTCGCTGCGGACACTTACATATTTTCGTGCATATAAGGCACAGTTTTTTCCCCACATAGTCTTGGAAAATCAACCTGCGCCTTATATGCTCAAGGTCAGTGTCACGGGTAGGCTTGGTGTAACGCTTTATCATATACTTGTGCGTCTTATATGCTGGAAATTAAGGTAGGTATCTAGGATTTAGATTTACAGGTGACAAATGATTCAAAACACTGATATATTAAAACATACACAAATAACCTGCACATAGGAGAAGGTTATGACGACGTTTCGGTCCGACTTGGACCATTTACAAGTCACACTAACACACGAAGGTGAGGGAGCCAGTATACACAGGTTATTTGTGTATTGTTCCAGTCACGGTATTGTGCCTTTCTGTTCTTTAAGGTAAAACATTTTATGCCAATCATGAACGACTGAGAGTGGTCGTTAATGGAGTACCCTGAGCTCAAGATGGTGACTGGTGAAACACCTCACTCAGTGTTGTACAGCTATGGCAAGCGCTTCCCTTCTAAGATACAGACTTCTCAACTTGTGTTTCAAAGAGTGTCTGAATATCTTAAAAATGTAGGACTGTGTAGGACTGTGTAGGACTGTGTAGGACTGTGTAGGACTGTGTAGGACTGTGTAGGACTGTGTAGGACTGTGTAGGACTGTGCAGGGCCAGTAATGTGAACTAATAAATGCACAAAACACGGAGGTCTGATAGACCAATGATGATTGAGGTAACAACACAGTTGAGCGAACACCAGGCAAGCCAGAACAACCCACCTCCTACACAAGTAACCAAACTTGAGGCAGAATGATTCAAGGTTTTCAGTGAAGGTCTGAGGCTGTGTAGTATATAACTGACCCTCTTAACCTTGAAACACATACCTGGGGCGTCGACGCATTATGAATAATAATAATAATAATAATAATAATAATAGTGGAGACAGCAGAAGTGGACAATAATGACAGGTGATGAAGAGTGTGTTGATAATGTTGCAGGTTGACTTGCAACATCTGGGTCAACAACTCACCTCTGCTGGTAATTACTTCGACAACCTCAGCATGTTATTGCTGGGAGAGTTAAATATACATTAGTAACATGTACACTAAGACATGTTCCATTGTTTCAATCTTGTGTGGTGCTTTATCAAGACATGAGTGACGTGACAGATGTTTATCGGGACATGAGTGACCTGATAGAGCTTTATTAAGACATGCGTGACGTGATAGAGCTATATCAGGACATGAATGGCGTGACAGAGCTTTATCAAGACATGAGTGTCGTGATAGAGCTTTATCAAGACATGAGTGACGTGACAGATGTTTATCAGGACATGAGTGACGTGACAGATGTTTATCAAAACATAACTGACGTGACAGATGTTTATCAGGACATGAGTGACGTGACAGATGTTTATCAACACATGAGTGTCGTGACAGAGCTTTATCAAGACATGAGTAACGTGATAGAGCTTTATCAAGACATGAGTGTCGTGATAGAGCTTTATCAAGACATGAGTGACGTGATAGAGCTTTATCAAGACATGAGTGACGTGATAGAGCTTTATCAGGACATGAATGACATGATAGACTTTTATCAGAACATAAGTGACGTGTTAGAGCTTTATCAAGACATGAGTGTCGTGACAGCTTTATCAAGACATGAGTGACGTGACAGAGCTTTATCAAGGCATGAGTGAGGTGATAGAGCTTTATCAAGACATGAGTGACGTGATAGAGCTTTATCAAGGCATGAGTGACGTGATAGAGCTTTATCAAGGCATGAGTGACGTGATAGAGCTTTATCAAGACATGAGTGACGTGATAGAGCTTTATCAAGACATGATGGGCGTGATAGAGCTTTATCAGGGGCATGAATGACATGATAGACTTTTAAACAGAAAAATAAGTAACGTGATAGAGCTTTATCAAGACATAAGTGACGTGATAGAGCTTTATCAAGACATAAGTGACGTGATAGAGCTTTATCAAGACATGAGTGACGTGATAGAGCTTTATCAAGGCATGACTGACGTGACATGTTTATCAAGACATGAGTGTCGTGACAGAGCTTTATCAATACATGACTGACGTGACAGAGCTTTATCAAGGCATGAGTGACGTGATAGAGCTTTATCAAGACATGAGTGACGTGATAGAGCTTTATCAAGACATGAGTGACGTGATAGAGCTTTATCAAGGCATGAGTGACGTGATAGAGTTTTATCAAGACATGAGTGTCGTGATAGAGCTTTATCAAGACATGAGTGACGTGATAGAGCTTTATCAAGACATGAGTGACGTGATAGAGCTTTATCAGGACATGAATGACATGATAGACTTTTATCAGAACATAAGTAACGTGATAGAGCTTTATCAAGACATAAGTGACGTGATAGAGCTTTATCAAGACATAAGTGACGTGATAGAGCTTTATCAAGACATAAGTGACGTGATAGAGCTTTATCAAGACAAAAAGTGGGCGTGATAGAGCTTTATCAAGACATAAGTGACGTGATAGAGCTTTATCAAGACATGAGTGTCGTGACAGAGCTTTATCAATACATGACTGACGTGACAGAGCTTTATCAAGGCATGAGTGACGTGATAGAGCTTTATCAAGACATGAGTGACGTGATAGAGCTTTATCAAGACATGAGTGACGTGATAGAGCTTTATCAAGGCATGAGTGACGTGATAGAGTTTTATCAAGACATGAGTGTCGTGATAGAGCTTTATCAAGACATGAGTGACGTGATAGAGCTTTATCAAGACATGAGTGACGTGATAGAGCTTTATCAGGACATGAATGACATGATAGGGCTTTCAGAACATTTTTTTTGTGACGTGATAGAGCTTTATCAAGAATGAGTGACGTAATAGAGCTTTATCAAGACATAAGTGACGTGATAGAGCTTTATCAAGACATGAGTGTCGTGACAGAGCTTTATTAAGACATGTGTGACGTGATAGAGCTATATCAGGACATGAATGACGTGACAGAGCTTTATCAAGACATGAGTGTCGTGATAGAGCTTTATCAAGACATGAGTGACGTGATAGAGCTTTATCAAGACATGAGTGTCGTGACAGAGCTTTATTAAGACATGCGTGACGTGATAGAGTTATATCAGGACATGAATGACGTGACAGAGCTTTATCAAGACATGAGTGTCGTGATAGAGCTTTATTAAGACATGAGTGACGTGACAGATGTTTATCAGGACATGAGTGACGTGACAGATGTTTATCAGGAGATGAGTGACGTGACAGATGTTTATCAAGACATGAGTGACGTGACAGACGTTTATCAGGATATGAGTGACGTGACAGATGTTTATCAAGACATGACTGACGTGACAGATGTTTATCAGGACATGAGTGACGTGACAGATGTTTATCAAAACATGACTGACGTGACATGTTTATCAAGACATGAGTGTCGTGACAGAGCTTTATCAAGACATGAGTGACTTGATAGAGCTTTATCAAGGCATGAGTGACGTGATAGAGCTTTATCAAGACATAAGTGACGTAATAGAGTTTTATCAAGACATAAGTGACGTGATAGAGCTTTATCAAGACATGAGTGTCGTGACAGAGCTTTATCAAGACATGAGTGACTTGGTAGAGCTTTATCAAGGCATGAGTGACGTGATAGAGCTTTATCAAGATATAAGTGACGTAATAGAGCTTTATCAAGACATAAGTGACGTGATAGAGCTTTATCAAGACATGAGTGTCGTGATAGAGCTTTATCAAGACATGAGTGTCGTGATAGAGCTTTATCAAGACATGTTAACCTTATTATAACAAGCGCAATTTAATTTAGCCTAACCCAACTAAACATATTTTAGATAAGTTTACAATAATTTAATAATAAACAAACACAATTAAATATATTTTTTTCGTTAGATTCAGAATGATTTTTGCGAAATTATTGCATACACAAATTTTCGCTTGCCTTATTCGGCAAGAAGAGCGTTGCTGTGTGTGTGTGTGTGTGTGTGTGTGTGTGTGTTGTGTGTGTGTGTGTGTGTGTGTGTGTGGGGTGTGTGTGTGTGTGTGTGTGTGTGTATGTGTATGTGTGTGTGTGTGTGTGTGTGTGTGTGTGTACTCACCTATTTGTGGTTGCAGGGGTTGATTCATGGTCCCAGACCCGCAACATATCAATAATGAAGTATCCCAACTGTTTAAGTGTATTCAAACACAATTAAGGTGTCTATGACTGGGGTGATGGTAGGTAGCATCGTGACGATCGGTAGCGTACCTGGCTTCTTGTTGGCTGGCTGGATGCTGGGTCGTCTGGGACGACGGTGGTCCATGGCCATATCCGTGGTCCCGGGACTCATGGGCTGGGCTGCCATCGCTCTCTCACTCAACGCCACAATGTTGATTGTCGCCAGGTAAGTAATGTCTGTTTGTAGTTTTTTGTTTGTAGCAACGGGAGCGGCGTTATACTCACGTTCTCCCGTTTCTTGGGTATATTACTATTTCTACTACTACTACTACTACTACCACTACTACTACTACTACTACTACTACTACTACCACTACTACTACTACTACTACTACTACTACTACTATTCTACTACCACACTACTATTTCTACTACTACTACTACTACTACTACTACTACTTCCCACCTGCTTGAAGGGTGAACTTGCTTTTCGTATATAATAGTTATGATGGTTCAAAATAGTATAAAATACCGACAGTTGAAGATAAAACACATGTGCAACAGTTTGGTATCTTTATTAATACGTTTCGCCTACACAGTAGGCTTCTTCAGTCAAATACAGAGGGAGCAGTAGTAATAAAATAAAGATGATGTATTGAGTCCATCAACCTTGGAGAAAAGTATTTTCGGTACTCAGTCCCTCAGCCTGGAGAAGAGTTCAGCTTTATGATCTGGAACGAAACTGATACAATACAAGGACACAATGTGAAGAATTATATACAATATGTGAGGTAATCAGTCCCTCAGTCTTGGAGTTCGTGAAGAGCACCGTAGTCTTGAAGGAACTGAAGCATAGTCATGGAGCTTGGAGCTTATATACTGGCGACAGGTGAGGGAAGAAACAGCAGACGAAGGCATTGTTGCTCGTAGGTGGGAATCCCCAGTGGAAGTCAGTTATACCCAAGGAATGGGCCGGTAGTAAGAAAGAAGGTTGTAAAGATGTCGGTACTGTATACCATTTATGTAAACATTGATAATGGGTGTGTCGAATACTTTTTAGTGGGTTTGAGAACTTACCAAGTATAGGCTGGTAGGCCTACTGCAGTGTTCCTGTTTTCATATGATCTTATGTCATATTTATATGTTAATGGTATACATAAGGGGGATTACCAACAGACCCCTGGCAGTCTTCAAGCTGGCACTGGACAAGCACCTAAAGTCAGTTCCTGATCAGCCGGGCTGTGGCTCGTACGTTGGTTTGCGTGCAGCCAGCAGCAACAGCCTGGTTGATCAGACTCTGATCCACCAGGAGGCCTGGTCACAGACCGGGCCGCGGGGGCGTTGACCCCCGGAACTCTCTCCAGGTAAACTCCAGGTAAAGCCGAGAGTATATGAAAGACATGTGGAACACTTGGGTATCTGTTGTTGAGATGTTTCGCCCACCAGTAAGTTTATTAATCCATTATGGAGAATAACACTAGAGACGGTGGAAGACATGAAGTAATAGTTTGAGGTGATCACTTCAAGTTGCTTCTTCATGTCGTTCACTGTCTCCAAGAGATTCCTCAAGAATCAGGGACTGATCACCCCAAAATGCTTCTTCACGTCTTCCACCGTCTCCAGTATTATTCTCCGTATTGGACTGATAAAGGTGGAAAAAACTCCCCACAATGAGGACACTCAAGTATTACACTCGTCTTAATGCACCTACGCGGGTCCTTCTCAAACCCAACCCTTCCCACTAGTTTACTCTTATTCAATTCAGCATAAAAACATTCACTCCCATATATGTGTAGATTATCTAGAATAACCCAAAAAAGTCAGATAAAATGACTTATTTTATTTGGGGTCCTTAAAACTAATCGTCGAGGAAACTAACACCTTTCTCGTCGATTAGTTTGAAGGACCCCAATGGAAACAAGTCACTTTGTCCGACTTTTTGGGGTTATCCTATGTAATCTACACATATGCTGCTATGTATGATGGTTTAAATAACTGTATTTATGCGTATTTGTACCTGAATAAACTTACTCACCAGATTCCTGGACGGTGTCACCTGCGGCATGGTCACTTTGGCTGTTATCACCTATGCCACAGAGATACCAGACACATCTCATCGAGGTTCAATAGGAACCATCGTCATCTTGATGTTTCTCATTGGTACCGGCATAGGTGTGAGCCTCGGCATCTTCCTCACATGGTACCAAGTTGCCTTCATCAACGTGGGTATTCTCCTACTATACACTACAGCCATTGTTCCCTGCTTGCCCGAGAGCCCGACCTTCCTAGCGGTAGTAGATAAAGACAAAGCCGCTCTTAAAGTGCTTGCTGGTCTTAGAGGAAACTACGCTGATCTTGATGCTGAAATTAAACTCTTAAAACAGTTAAACAGGGTAACCGATGCCACCTCAAGGTGGGGTGCTCTATTAAGTGCTGAAAATTTAAAGCGGATACTACTCTTGTCCTGCCTTTTCTTCATCCAGAGCTTCAGTGGGACAGCTGTCGTCAGAGTGAACGCCACGAGAATACTAGAAGCCTCCGGTGTGAATCTGAATAGAGATATTAGCACTACGATACTTATGGTGGTTCCAATATGTGGTGTCTTTGTGCTGACTTCACTAACTGACCGCATAGGCCGTCGACTGTGTTTAGTGGTATCCATGGCCCCGATGGTGCTAGCCTACTGTGTCCTCGGCTGCTATGTCTTTCTCAACAGTTACGAAGTAACTGCTGTGTCTGTGGTACCTCTTGGCTCCAACTACAGCAGCTACTCACAATCCATCCAGAGGATCGAGAGGTAAGCACACGCGTGTATGTACTAACAATGTAACTGTGTATTTCTTAGCATAAAGACTTCCTTACATGTGTGAGAATCTGTGTGCATGAGTATGTATGAATGTGCGTTTGTAAATGTGGAACCTAAGCAGCAGATACCCACAGAGACGTCAAGGAACGTTAATGTAGTAAGTGGAATGAGCTGACTGAGAAAGTGGAGGAGGAAAACTGTGCGCAGCTTCAAGAGTATGAAAGTAGTGCAAGAAAGGTACAAAATACCGACAATATGAAAGTTAAGACACATGTGCAACATCTGGATATCTTTATTGTAGTAGACGTTTCGCCATCCAGTGGCTTTATCAATACAGATTCTAGGACATAATAGAAAGACAGTAGAACTATATACAAAAGATGAGGTAATCAGTCCCTCGGCCTTGGAGTTAGTGTTCACAGCATCGTGGTGGAGGAGAATCTGGAGCAAAGACAAGAAGACTGGCGGTTTATATAGGCGTCAGTGGATATGGACGGGCAGCAGACGAGGGCAAAGTCACTGGTAGGCGGGATTCCCCAGTGGAAGTAGGTCCTTACCAAAGAGATGGGTTAGTTGCAGCAGCCGTGAAGGTCTTGTAGATGTCCTCTGAACCAAGATTCCATGATGTTGCAGTGTCTGACAAGTTGTGCAAGAAAGGTACAAAATACCGACAATACTCCAAGGCCGAGGGACTGATTACCTCATCTTTTGTATATAGTTCTACTGTCTTTCTATTATGTCCTAGAATCTGTATTGATAAAGCCACTGGATGGCGAAACGTCTACTACAATAAAGATATCCAGATGTTGCACATGTGTCTTAACTTTCAGTATGAAAGTACTTAAAAGGCCAGGAACCAGCAAAGCGAGTCGAATAGAATATTCGACACATCACAGCACAGTCTACAGTGTGAATATAATAATAGTAAACAATACCGACAAGCTGATAAGTAAGACACATGTACAACAGTTAGGTATCTTAATTCTGAAACGTTTCGCCTACACAGTAGGCTTCGTGAGTCGTATACAGCCTATAAACCATACCATGGGGGGGGGGATAGAACCCGCGATCACAGAGTCTCAAAACTCCAGACCGTCGCGTTAGCCACTAGACCAGCTAGCCACAATAAGATTCATCCAACTAGGTATATTTCTACACCATAGGAAGGTTAGCACAGGCACCACTGTGACCACAAATGCAAGTTTTTACAGACGAATCTCCAGCTAGCGTGGCCGTGACGAACTCTAGCTCAAGTCCCCTCAAAGCCGTTAACATGACTCATGAAATCGTAATGACACGATCCCCGCCCGTGGTATGGTTTGTTTGCAATCGTGTCATTACGATTTCGTGAGTCGTATACAGCCTATAGTGCACGTATGGTGTACTCATCCGGCATTCATGACTCGTAACTGGAAGATAACTTAAAAACGCATGATAAATTAGACACATGTGCAACATTTTGGTATCTTTAATGAGGAAACGTTTCGCCACACAGTGACTTCATCAGTCCATACAAAGGAGAATGGTGAAGAACAGGAGAAGTTTAAGGTAATCAATCCCTCAACCTTGAGTCGATGTGGTCAGTCCATCAATCTTCGAAAGAATACAAAGCGTATGTGAGAAGAAGTGGCTTATATACTGTAGACAGGAGAGGTGGAGCAGTTATGACACCATCTATGACTGCTGTACCTCTCCTGCCTACAGTATATAAGCCACTTCTTCGCACATACGCTGTATTCTTTCTAAGACTGTTGGACTGACTACATCGACTCAAGGCTGAGGGACTGATTACCTCAAACTTATCCTGTTCTTCATCATTCTCTTTTCGCCACTGTGTGGCGAAACGTTTCCCCAAGTGTTGCACATGTGTCTAATTTATCAATTTGTCGGTTCTCTGAACCATTTATTTACGTTAAAAACTCGTGAATCCAAATTACATACTGACAACAGTAATGCAAAAAGACGCTGATTTTAGAGCAAACTTATAGAGCAGAACATTATGCAAATATTAGCTGGTTAACTGTCTTCTCTTGTATGTATGTATGTATATATATATATATATATATATTATATATATATATATATATATATATATATATTATATATATATATATATATATATATATATATATATATATATATATGTCGTGCCGAATATGTAAAACTGGTCAATTAGCAAGAACTCGTTTAAAATTAATTCCTTTCTGAAATTTTCTCTTATACGTTTAAAGATATATTTTTTTCATTAATGTTAATGTAATTTTTTTTAATTTTGCACGAAAAGAATCTTAGAAAACTTACCTAACCTTATTATAACAAGAACAATTTATTTTAGCCTAACCTAACTAAATATATTTTAGATTTCTTTACAATAATTTAATACTAAACAAACACAGTGAAATATATTTTTTTTGTTAGGTTAAGAATGATTTGGGCGAAATTATTGCATACACAAATTTTCACTTGTCCTATATGGCAAGATGAGCGTTGCTATTTAAGCCAAGATCGCAAGTTCTGCCCATTCGGCACGACATATATATATATATATATATATATATATATATATATATATATATATATATATATATATATATATATATATATATATATATATATATATATATATATATATATATGTATGTATGTATATTATTATTATTGACCACAAATGTTGCTGCGCAAAACGAGGAATGTTGCATCACTTTCTCCGTTGTATGACTCTGGATGAGTATATGGGAGAGGTTCGTATGAAGGTTATATTCTCACTGTTTACTTTATATTCTTGTTAAACATCCTAACTTTTTTCCTCTTGCAAGTAGCCCTCGAATTAGAAACGAAATTTAAACTACGTTTCGACCCCTCTAGGGCCTTCATCAGTATGTGGATTAATTGTGACTTAAATTCTCCCTACTAAACTTGACGTTTTTCTTGTCCAGTGAAGAGAACGAGTGGTCATGGCTGCCACTGGCCTGTCTCCTAGTGTGTATCTTCGCCATGAATATCGGCATTGAGTCTCTTCCCTGGCACTTATCCTCGGAACTATTCCCCACCACCATAAGATCCCAGGTAAATTCTTCCTCGTCGCAAGACAACTTCAAGTGAAGATTCATTTCCAGTCTACGTTCGAGGGTGTTGTGGCCTATCAAAATAACAAAAAAAGGGCACAATACCGTGACTGGAACGATACACAAATAACCCGCACATAAAAGAGAGAAGCTTACGACGACGTTTCGGTCCGACTTGGGCCATTTACAATGTCATATGTGCGAGTTATTTGTGTATTGTTCCAGTCACGGTATTGTGCCTTACTGTTTACGTCGTCTTTCAAGACATATAAGAGCTTGGAGGTATTCTTAACGTCACAGGTATCTAAATTGTGACATGCGTCATGCAGCACTAATTTCTCAAGAAGTCATGTTGAGCAGGCAAGGTCGCGGTCTCCCCTCATCAATTCTAATTGACCACATCCATAAAACTGGGAGGAAGTGATCCACGATATCTCAAGATTATTGATGACGCCAGGAGTTTTACGACTCACCCGCCATGGGTTCTAATCCACATCCTTACTGTTGTCTGTTTTCAATACTATTGACCTGAGCAGCGCCTCTCACCTAATATCAATTTCCAGAGGATAAATAAGACTTTGGATTACACAGAATAAACATTTTATAGATTCTGAAGGGGTCTCTTTCTTTCGATGTATATACACTCAGAGTAACAGTGTATATACACCGACGAATGTACATTTTAGTATATATGCACTAAATGTGTATTTAAACTCTAGTCTTTGTGATAATGGGATTCTTGAGGCCTACTCACTCTTTCACTTTCTTTATATTCACATAATCTTGATTCTTATTGATAAACAGGACTTATTAAGGGAGGAAAATAAGGTTTCATCCACAGGAAAATAATAGTAACTACCTTGGATCAAGAACCTTTAAACGGTATCAAGGTACTCCAGTAGTCTATTTTGTCAAAGAAAATAATTTCGTTAAGAACACTCTTCATGCTGCTTATATATATATATATATATATATATATATATATATATATATATATATATATATATATATATATATATATATATATATATATATATATATATATATATATATATATATATTAATGAAAACACGAAACAAGTGATTTTGAATCATTAACAGAATTGCGGCTAGCCAGGAATCGATCCTGCGTTCCCATGCCCAGCCTGTGAGAACTGAACACGGTACGCATTACTCTATCCACTGCACCACAAATTCTCTAACATCAGGTGCTCAGCGGTACTGAGGGTGTTTTCCCTGTGGTCCACTGGATAGAGTGATGCGTACTGTGTTCATTTCTCACAGGGTTGGGCATGAGAATGCAAGATCGAGTCCTGGCCAGCCGCAATGTATGTATGTATGTGTATATATATATATATATATATATATATATATAATATATATATATATATATATATATATATATATATATATATATATATATATATATATATATATATTCTACCTTTACAGGCAATGAGCGTGTGTACCGTGGTTGGAAGTGTGTTTGCCGCGGCAGCTCTACAGCTCTACAGTCCAATGCAGGACTTCCTGACTCCTGCAGGGCTCTACTGGACCTACGCTGGGGTATCCTTCCTGGGAATAGGCTTCACTCTCCTCACACTGCCAGAAACTGCACGGCAGGCTGTAGGCTAGACTTGATGCCCTCTCCTGAGGCACACACAACCACATAAACAAACACACACACACACACACACACACACACACACACACACACACACACACACACACACACACACACACACACACACACAAACACACACACACACACACACTCGCACTGGGATGTTAGGAAGTATTTCTTCAGTCATAGAGTTGTCAGGAAGTGGAATAGTCTGGAAAGTGATGTAGTGTCCTAACCGATATAAGCTGGAAAGATATACTAAGCAACACAGACCCCAACTTATGCCTAGAACAGATTAACTTGGTGGCACTCGATGTATGCACAAGGCTTATTCCTCTAAGAAAAAGGAGGAGTAGATGTAAAATAGAAAGAGACAGGCGCTCCCTTTACAGGTGACGGAAAAGAATAACAGAGCGGCTAAAAGAGGCCAATATATCTGCAATGCGTAGGGAGACACTGGTCAGAGAAATAGCAAACATCGAACTTAAGCTAAAGGATTATTATAGGAGTCCGGAATCGCGGGAAGAACTAAAAGCCATAAATGAAATTGAAAGAAACCCAAAGTATTTCTTCTCCTATGCCAAATCAAAGTCGAGAACAACGTCCAGTATTGGGCCCCTACTTAAACAAGATGGGTCCTACACAAATGACAGCAAGGAAATGAGTGAGCTACTCAAGTCCCAATATGACTCAGTTTTTAGCAAGCCGCTAACCAGACTGAGAGTCGAAGATCAAAATGATTTTTTTATGAGAGAGCCACAGAATTTGGTTAACACAAGCCTATCTGATGTTATCCTGAGGCCAAATGACTTCGAACAGGCGATAAATGACATGCCCATGCACTCTGCCCCAGGGCCAGACTCATGGAACTCTGTGTTCATCAAGAACTGCAAGAAGCCCCTATCACGAGCGTTTACCATCCTATGGAGAGGGAGCATGGACACGGGGGTCGTCCCACAGTTACTAAAAACAACAGACATAGCCCAACTCCACAAAGGGGGCAGTAAGGCAAGAGCATTATTATTATTATTATTATTATCAAGGGGAAGCGCTAAACCCGTAGGATTATACAGCGCCTGGGGGGGATGTGGAAGGCATTCAGGCTTAATTCGGGGAACTAGAGCACAGATCCAAAGAACTACAGACCGATAGCACTAACATCCCATATCATAAAAATCTTTGAAAGGGTCCTAAGAAGGAAGATCACCCATCTAGAAACCCATCAGTTACACAACCCAGGGCAACATGGGTTTAGAACAGGTCGCTCCTGTCAGTCTCAACTATTGGATCACTACGACAAGGTCCTAGATGCACTAGAAGACAAAAAGAATTCAGATGTAATATATACAGACTTTGCAAAAGCCTTCGACAAGTGTGACCATGGCGTAATAGCGAACAAAATGCGTGCTAAAGGAATAACAGGAAAAGTTGGTCGATGGATCTATGATTTCCTCACTAACAGAACACAGAGAGTAGTCGTCAACAGAGTCAAGTCCGAGGCAGCTACGGTGAAAAGCTCTGTTCCACAAGGCACAGTACTCGTTCCCATCTTGTTCCTCATCCTCATATCTGACATAGACAAGGATGTCAGCCACAGCACCTTGTTTTCCCTTTTTGCAGATGACACCCGAATCTGCATGACAGTGTCTTCCATTGCAGACACTGCAAGGCTCCAGGCGGACATCAACCAAATCTTTCAGTGGCTGCAGAAAACAATATGAAGTTCAACGATGAAAAATTTTTCAATTATTCAGATATGGTAAACACGAGGAAATTAAATCTTCATCAGAGTACAAAACAAATTCTGGTCACAAAATAGAGCGTAACACCAACGTCAAAGACCTGGAGTGTTATGTCGGAGGATCTCACCTTCAGGACCATAACATTGTACCCAATCGCATCTGCTAGAAAAATGACAGATGGATAATGAGAACCTTCAAAAATAGGGATGCCAAGCCCATGATGACACTCTTCAGGTCGCTTGTTCTATCTAGGCTGGAATATTGCTGCACACTAGCAGCACCTTTCAAGGCAGGTGAAATTGCTGACCTAGAAAATGTACAGAGAATCTTCACGGCGCGCATAACGGAGATAAAACACCTCAATTACTGGGAGTGCTTGAGGTTCCTAAACCTGTATTCCCTGGAACGCAGGTGGGAGAGATACATGATTATGTACACCTGGAAAATCCTAGAGGGACTAGTACCGAACTTGCACACGAAATCACTCACTACGAAAGCAAAAGACTTGGCAGACGATGCAACATCCCCCCAATGAAAAGCAGGGGTGTCACCAGCACGTTAAGAGACCATACAATAAGTGTCAGGGGCCCGAGACTATTCAACTGCCTCCCAGCATACATAAGGGGGATTACCAACAGACCCCTGGCAGTCTTCAAGCTGGCACTGAACAAGCACCTAAAGTCGGTTCCTGACCAGCCGGGCTGTGGCTCGTACGTTGGTTTGCGTGCAGCCAGCAGTAACAGCCTGGTTGATCAGGCTCTGATCCACCAGGAGGCCTGGTCACAGACCTGGCCGCGGGGCCGTTGACCCCCGGAACTCTCTCCAGGTAAACTCCAGGTAAGTGGAAGCACAATCCATACATAGCTATAAGAAGAGGTATGATCAAGTTCATGGAGCAGGGAGAGAGTGGACCTAGTAGCGACCAGCGAAGAGGCGGAGCCAGGAGCTGTGAATCAACTCCTGCAACCACAATTAGGTAAGTACACACGTTTCTTCCACCTGACACACCTGTGTGGAGCAGCAGCGGCCATGACCAGCGTCCATGGCCAGCGTCCATGACCAGCGGCCATGACCAGCATCCATGACCAGCGTCGATGACCAGCGGCCATGACCAGCGTCCATGACCAGCGGCCATGACCAGCATCCATGACCAGCGTCGATGACCAGCGGCCATGACCAGCGTCCATGACCAGCGTCCATGACAAGCGGCCATAACCAGCGTCCATGACCACCGTCCATGACCAGCGGCCATGACCAGCGTCCATGACAAGCGGCCATGACCAGCGTCCATGACCAGCGGTCATGACCAGCGTCCATGACCAGCAGCCATGATCAGCGTCCATGACCACCGGCCATGACCAGCATCCATGACCAGCGGCCATGACCAGCGGCCATGACCAGCGTCCATGACCAGCATCCATGACCAGCGGCCATGACCAGCGTCCATGACCAGCGTCCATGACCAGCGGTCATGACCAACGTCCATAACCAGCGCCCATGACCAGCGTCCATGACCAGCGTCCATGACCAGCGGCCATGACCAGTGTCCATGACCAGCGTCCATGACCAGCGGTCATGACCCGCGGCCATGACCAGCGTCCATGACCAGCGTCCATGACCAACGTCCATAACCAGCGCCCATGACCAGCGTCCATGACCAGCGTCCATGACCAGCGGCCATGACCAGTGTCCATGACCAGCGTCCATGACCAGCGGCCATGACCAGCATCCATGACCAGCGTCCATGACCAGCGTCCATGACCAGCGTCCATGACCAGCATCCATAACCAGCGGCCATGACCAGGGGCCATGACCAGCGTCCATGATCAGCGTCCATGACCAGCGTCCATGACCAGCGTCCATGACCAGCGTCCATGATCAGCGGCCATGACCAGCGGCCATGACCAGCGTCCATGACCAACGTCCATGACCAGCGTCCATGACCAGCGGCCATGACCAGTGGCCATGACCAGCGGCCATGACCAGCGTCCATGACCAGCGGCCATGACCAGTACCCATGACCAACGGCCATGACCAGCGTCCATGACCAACGTCCATGGCCACCGGCCATGACCAGCGTCCATGACCAGCGGCCATGACCAGTGGCCATGACCAGCGGCCATAACCAGCGTCCATGACCAACGTCCATGGCCACCGGCCATGACCAGCGTCCATGACCAGCGTCCATGACCAGCGGCCATGAGCAGCGTCCATGAGCAGCGTCCATGGCCAGCGTCCTTGACCAGCGGCCATGACCAGCGTCCATGACCAGCGTCCATGGCCAGCGTCCTTGACCAGCGGCCATGACCAGCGTCCATGACCAGCGTCCATGACCAGCGTCCATGACCAGCATCCATGACCAGTGGCCATGACCAGTGGCCATGACCAGCGGCCATGACCAGCGGCCATGACCAGCGGCCATGACCAGTGGCCATGACCAGCGGCCATGACCAGCGGCCATGACCAGCGGCCATGACCAGGGGCCATGATCAGCGGCCATGACCAGGGGTCATGACCAGCGGCCATGACCAGGGGCCATGGCCAGGGGTAATGACCAGGGGCCATGACCAGGGCCCATGACCAGGGGCCATGACCAGGGGCCATGACCAGGGGCCATGATCAGCGGCCATGACCAGGGGCCATGACCAGCGGCCATGACCAGGGGCCATGGCCAGGGGCAATGACCAGGGGCCATGACCAGGGCCCATGACCAGCGGCCATGACCAGGGGCCATGACCAGCGGCCATGACCAGGGGCCATGACCAGCAGCCATGACAAGGGGCCATGACCAGCGGCCATGACCAGGGGCCATGACCAGCGGCCATGACCAGGGCCCATGACCAGGGCCCATGACCAGGGGCCATGACCAGGGGCCATAACCAGTGGCCATGACCAGCGGCCATGACCAGGGGCCATGACCAGGGGCCATGATCAGGGGCCATGACCAGGGGCCATGACCAGGGGCCATGACCAGGGGCCATAACCAGGGGCCATGACCAGCGGCCATGCCCAGGGGCCATGACCAGCGGCCATGACCAGGGGCCATGACCAGTTGCCATGACCAGGGGCCATGACCAGGGCCATGACCAGGGCCATGACCAGGGGCCATGACTGGGGGCCATGACCAGGGCCATGACAAGGGCCATGACCGGGGGCCATGATCAGGGGCCATGACCAGGGGCCATGACCAGGGGCCATGACCAGGGGCCATAACCAGGGGCCATGACCAGGGGCCATGACCAGGGGCCATGACCAGGGGCCATGACCAGTGGCTATAACCAGGGCCATGACCGGGGGCCATGACCAGCAGCCATGACCAGGGCCATGACCAGCGGCTATGACCAGTGGCCATGACCACGGCCATGACCAGGGGCCATGACCAGGGGCCATGATCAGGGGCCATGACCAGGGGCCATGACCAGGGGCCATGACCAGGGGCCATAACCAGGGGCCATGACCAGCGGCCATGCCCAGGGGCCATGACCAGCGGCCATGACCAGGGGCCATGACCAGTTGCCATGACCAGGGGCCATGACCAGGGGCCATGACCAGGGGCCATGACCAGGGGCCATGACTAGGGGCCATGACCAGGGGCCATGACAAGGGGCCATGACCAGGGGCCATGATCAGGGGCCATGACCAGGGGCCATGACCAGGGGCCATGACCAGGGGCCATAACCAGGGGCCATGACCAGGGGCCATGACCAGGGGCCATGACCAGGGGCCATGACCAGTGGCTATAACCAGGGGCCATGACCAGGGGCCATGACCAGGGGGACATTAGGCTTCATTAAAAATATAAGATGAGTGAAAAACGAGAAAAGAAAAATTATTAATTCAAATAATTATTTGTTTTAATTGAAACATTTGCATTTTATGCAACATATAGTAAGCATTGTTACATATATATTATACTCACTATTTAGGTCACAATGTGACCTATACATTGTATAGGAGCTATACTGTGTTGCACTTGCAACACTGTATAGCTCCTGACGACCCACGAGAGTGTGAAAGATCGTGAGATTAAGATTTCCATCTTATGCTGCTTTTATTCGCGATATATATATATATATATATATATATATATATAAATATATATATATATATATATATATATATATGTGTGTGTGGTGTGTGTGTGTGTGTATGTGTTTTGTGTGTGACGACTGGCCCACTCTGTACTATTCTGAGAAAAAGCTTCCCCTCACTCCTTTAGTTGCAACCTTGCAACATTGCATAGCTCCTGATGACGCACTGAGAATGTGAAAGTGCTTGAGCTAAAGATTTCCACCCCCCTCGTGGCTTGTCTTGCCACAGGGTTTATATATATATATATATATATATATATATATATATATAATATATATATATATATATATAATATATATATATATATATATAAGCATAAAAATAAAGAGTGTAGTTAGTACCACTGTAGGGGCAAGGAGAGACATGACACTGTCCTTTCAAGAGGATAACACAACACGTACCATCGTTTCCTGAGGGTCGTTACACATCCCTCTCACTGCAAGTACATGTACAGGACAGGGAAGAGGGAAGGCACAACATACTGGTGGATGAGATGTGCATCTGTAGGACAGGAAAAATAACAAAAACAATATTTATAGAATAAATGAATGACAGGTATACAATGTACAAAACAAGGTCAGATAAAACATGTACATGCCAGGAGGAGGTCAGATGAAACATGTACAAGACAGGAGGAGGTCAGATGAAACATGTACATGACAGGAGGAGGTCAGATAAAACATGTACATGACAGGAAGAGGTCAGATGAAACATGTACAAGACAGGAAGAGGTCAGATGAAACATGTACAAGACAGGAAGAGGTCAGATGAAACATGTACAAG